CGGAGCCTGGTCTCGGCGCCAGGAGAGCGCTGGGTCGGGACAGCGGTGCCCGGCGCCGGCCCGGGGAACTTGGCCCCTCTCGGGCCGGGTCCTCTCCGCGTGCCGCGTTTCAGCCGCCGCCCAGCCCACCTCTCCCCCGAAGAGTCGGCCGCTCCCCGGCTTGGCTCGTTCGCCAGCTCGACGCCGTCGCCAGCCCACGTTTTCCCCTGCTAGGAGCAAGGGCCTCGGAGACGTTTGCGAGGCCCGTGCGCCTCCCGCGTTCCCCGATCTCTGTGAACGAAGGAGGCCGGGTTAATCTGTCGCGATTCGTTTTTAGTCCCGTTAGTTGGAGCAGGCCTAGCCAGATGCTCGTAAATGCGCAGCTTGACGGTCTTTCCAAGGACTTTGGCCAGCGCAGGCCTTAAGCTGACAGATCTTTGATTATCCGGGTCTTCCTCCCCACCCTTGGAAGGCGCTTGCTCTTCTCCAGGGTTCTGGGGCCTCTTCCGTCCTCCGGGGGTCCTCAGAGACTACAGAGATCGTTTCTGCACTCATCTTCACTACAGGTAGTTCTCACTTAATGACGGCAGTTGGGACCAGAATTTCTGTTGCTAAGTGACAGGGTCTTGCAACAGAAATTCCAGCGTTTCCGGTTGCTGTTGTTAAGCAAATCCTGCGCTGTCGTTAAGCGAGGACTTGACGTGGTCACCATTTGCAGCCTCCTGCCAGCTTCCCCACTGACTTCGTTTGCAGGAGGCCAGCAAAGAAGGTCTCAAATGGCTATCGCATGACCACAAGATGCTGTGGGTTCTGTGGGATTGAGGGTGAGCCAAAACATCACTGTTTTGATGGTTGGGGAGAGATATGGGGGACGGGGCAGGCCATTCTTGGGGTATACGCTTCTGGTATGTTGTTCCAATGGCGTGTTCCAGCCCTCCAGTCTCAACTCTAAGTCCTGCCTAGCAGAACTTCGATTATCCGGGTTTTTGATGGCTGCTGCTAATGAACGCCTGGTTCGTCTATAATAAGGCTGACCTCATCCATGAGTTTAGCATGGATGAGAGGGCCAACCTAGTGGGTATTATCAAAACCTGACTGGGCTTTGAGGCCTGTTCCCCTCTCAGAGATGTGCCCAGCTGAGTTTCGGGTGTGGCATCAGCTTCAACCCTTGGGCAGGGGTGGAGGTGTGACAATTGTGTGACAAAATAGTTGGGTGGCTTCCAGAGGCACTGCTCCTCAGATTGCCTGATGTAAGTCCTTGTTTGTTAGGTTGGGCTCCATGGTTCAGTTGGGTTGCTATTGTACCAGCCTCCTTGCCTGAACTCCTTGATTCCGTGGCCAGGTTGGTGGAATTCTCCAGGCTGATGGTCAGACCCAGGTATGGGTCTGAGATGGCTTTGATCACACTTCTAGATTACCTCTGGCAGGAGCAGGATGGGGTTGGTGTGTTTGTCATTGCTCTTCTTCACCTCTCAGTGGCCTTTGGTACCATCGATCATGGTATCCTTCTGGACTGGCTCTGGGGTTTCATGGCAGTATCCTGAGCAGGTTTTCCTCCTTCCTCTGGGGTTGGTTTCAGTAGTGTTGATGAGGGAGAGAGGTCCACCCCCCAAGCCCCTGTTTTGCGGGCAGTCCAGGACCTGGAACTTTCTACTCTGTTTAACATGTACATGAAACACCTGGGTGAGGTCATCCAGTGGTTTGGGGTGAGGTATCATGAGTATGCTGATGATACTCAGCTTTATAGCTCCACCCTGGGCTGCCTGAGGGATGCTGTGGAGGTCCTGTCTTGGTGTCTGGAGGCTGTGAGGATCTGAATGAGGAACACCTGGCTTCAGCTCAACCCCAGCAAGGCCGAGTGGCTTTGGGTTTTGTGAATCCCATGTTGTGGGGACTTTCCATCTCTTGTTCTGGATGGGGTTGCACTACCCCAGATAGAACCTATGCACAGTTTGGGGGTCCTCCTGGACTCACCGCTCCTGCTTGAAGAGCAGGTGGCAGTCGTGGCTAAGAGCACCTCTGCACAGCTGTTTTATGCACCAATTATGCCTGTTCCTGGAATGGAAAGCCCTGCTGATGGTCACCTCATGCCCTGATCACCTCCAAAGGGCATCTGGAAGTTTCAGCTGGCGCAGAATTCAGTGGCGCAAGCAGTTATGGATGCCTTTAGCTCAGTGCATGTAACACCTCTGCTCTGTGAGCCGCACTGGTTGCCAATATGCTTCCAGCTTCAATTTGGGGTGCTGGTAGTGACCTGTAAAGCTCTTCATGGCTTGGGATTGGGATACTTGTGGGACTGTCTCTCCCCAGTTGTATCTACCTGTCCTATGAGATCCAGCAGGAGAGGCATGCTCCGGGTCCCAGTCATGGGGGGGGGGGGGGGGGTCATCTGGTGAGTCCTTGGAGGAGAGCCTTTTCTGTTCTGGTGCCCATCCTCTGGAGCATAATTCCCCCAGAGATTAGACTTGCCCTGACCCTACTGGTTTTTCATAAGGCCTCGGTTCTGTTACCAAGCCTGGAGCCCCAGCAATGCGGTTGAGCCCATATCATGGTTATGTTGCTTTTGCTTAGTTTTATCTCGGCTGCTATATTTGCTATTTATTATTTTGTTATGATGTTTTTATTCTCTATTGGCCGCCCAGAGTCTTATGTTTGGGAAAGGTGGCCATATGAATGGAATGAATGAAGGAATGAAGGAAGGAATCCTTGTTGGTTTCTCCCGTGGGTTCTTGCATTTTGTGAGGATTGTGGTTGCACTTTCAGTTTCTCATTTTGTTGGATTTCTAATCCTTCCTAGACACTTTTTCCTTAACGATTTGAAACTGTTGCATCCTATCTACCTTCCCTTGGAGTTCATAAAAATCTGCTCTTCTGAAATTCCATATGCAGTTCTGACTCTTCTCAGTTCCTTCTCCAGATATCACAAATTCCAGGGTAACATGATCACTTTTCCCAAAGGTGCCAGCTATATTCACTTCTTCAATCAGTTTCTTCTTGTTGGCAAGAGTTAGATCATAAGTTCCCGAGTGTTCCTTGTTGCCGTTCTTGAATTTATTTCAGTTTCTCTGAATCTTTCATAAAATCATGGTGCTCAAAAATAGATATAATGCTTGAGCAACGCAAGGTATAGTGGGAAACGCTATTTGCCTTTTTAGCATCCATGTCAAATTGCTCTCTCATTTTCAGGTTGCATCAACTACAATTTCACAGGCACAGACATTTCTTTTCAAGTCTGGTGAAAAACATTTCAAAGTTAACATGCCCGTGTTCTATTATTTTCAGAGCAATTCAGTTATACTTACATATTTAATTAATAATAACTCCTCCTCAAAGTGCAATGCCCCTCCTTTAATTAAAGAACATACCATCCTGCAGTTACTTCGGGAACAAGATATAGCCTTGTGGAATAATGGATGGGGGACTTTTAAATTTATGTCTCTATGTGGGATACTTGAGATGTAAATAGCTGTGGTTTATGGAGAGGGGGTATCTTTGAGAAGCAGCCAAAGTCCATCCAAATGTTTTTTGGGGGTAGGTGAATGGAAATTCTGAAGAGGGAAAAGGCAGATACTAAACAGCATTACCTAGAAGTGCATAGATGAAAGAAATGAAACAATACTTTTATCCTGTTCCGTTTTAGAGAGCAAGGGGACAATTTTGCCAAACAGCAGGGTGGCAAATTGATAGACCTTTAGAACTGTTTTATGCTTCATTTCCATAAAATCATTTTTTCATGAGATGGGTGGCCTTATAAATATGACGAATGAAGGAAGAGTGAGCGAGCGAGCTTTGGCGTAGTAGCCAAAGGAGCCAATTGCATGAGCTGGCTGCTGCAATCAGTTGGCACAGAACATTGCTGATGGTCACTCAGATTTGCTTGGATCTGGACAGGGTCTGGAGTGGTGACTGATACGTCTTGTCAGGTGATCTGGGATTCTTTGTGGCCTAGTCTCAGAGGAAGTGGACAGAACTGTAGGATGTCCAGTTCCTGTTTGTC